GGCTGGTTTACACCCGGCAGAGACGACCAGTGGCAGCAGAATGCCTGACAGCCTACAGAGTCAGGACAGCAGAGGCTAATTAGGATGTCTGAGTAATTAAGAAAATGGTTCAGACTTGCTATAAAAGAAGCTTTTCCTACAGGTGGTGCAGGAATGTACCTGAGAGGATGGAGGAGGGCGCCACTGGGAGTAGAAGGAAAGGAGACAACAACTGAACACTAGGAGGATGAACCGGAGAGAAGGAAAGTGCTGGGGAAGGTGTGGGGAAGTAGCCCAGGGGTCTTGGGGCTGTAATTTAGCAGATGTCGAGGATTCACACAGGCAGCTACTGTTACCTCAGTTTGTATGTTATATGTTTATTGGTTGTGCGGATGGGAAATTGTAGTGCTATGAGTGCTGTCCTGACCAGACTAAGGCAGTGAATCAAACTATCAATGCAAATTCAACTAAGGAAGCCTTCCATAAGGGGGGGGGGTTCCCGCCTTTTCCCTAGTTGCACATGGTACTAGTGCTCTGCACCCCATTCTAATTCTTTGCACTCGGTACCAAATAGCTGCACACGGTTCAGAATGTTATGCACCCCACCCGCAAAAGAGTGCACTCAGCACCTTTGGAATCTTCCCACTGGAGAGAGCTAAAAATACCCCAGTTCAGTGGCAGTTGGGGTTCCCTTTATTTTTTTCCTACCTGGGTTCCAGTACTTGCGGTTCTGTGTATGTCCCTCTGTTGTAGTATGAATGGTAGGGTGAATGAGTGAGAGAGAGAGAGAGAGAGAGAGAGAGAGAGAAGTGTGGTGGGTATTTTGGGTTTGCCTGTTACCTATGGAGAATTCCCGGGGATTACCGGCTACATCCCATTGGGCTACCATCAAGGAGCGGAAGGCCTTTGATCCATAGTCCATTCCTCACCCGCTGCCCGACTAGAAGGCCAGATCCTGTGACATCGTGGGATCTCCTCACAGTTCCTCTGCCACGGCTTCCAATTAGCTACGGCATTGAGGTCGTGAGCACCTCCTCTGCCTTAGGCAACTAGAGTGTGTGTAAAGTATAACCCTATTGTGCCTAGGGGTCTTCACTGTCTGCTTTATTTCCTGGGATTTGGGTATTAAATTGCTGTTACATGCTGTTCTCTATTTTAAATTTACAATTGTTCTGTATTTTAACCTTACAATATATGGTTTGGCCCCAAATTAAGACTCGAAGTTTCTTTTGTTTAGAAAACCACGCGCCGGTGACAGATACGGCCACGAGCAATCGGCCTCAGGCGATCCTGTCTTCTGGGACTTGGGACATTTACTATCTCTAATATAAGTCAGGGCGTGTCCAATATTAAATTCTAAATTAATCGTTACTGTGTCCCAGGGTAACAGCGAGACCATTCCCCCGCTTACATCAAGGCAAGATTTTCAGCTCCTTAGTGCGGTTCATCACCTTTCTGTAGCTGGAGAGTGCAGAATCAAAGATGATTGAACTGGGGAGAAGGGATTAGCTCCCCCACTCACATTCCAGAGAGGAACCCTTCCATGTTGTTTTGTCTCCTGTAGCGAGGGTGGGGAATCCCTCACTTGCTGCAAGAGAGAGAATTTAAAAAAACCCTGAAGGTGTTGGGTTGTCTCCTGCCTGGAATTAGCACAGTGCCTTCCCTTGTCTTGACTGTTCAGGTAATAGGGCAGGAGGATGGTGGAGTGAGACCAAACACTGTGTTTCTCCTGAGCTGTGTCCCTGCCAGAGGGCACAGAAGGAGAGGATTATGCCTTGTGCAACCGAGCCATCTCATCATCTCAGAAAGGTTTCACTTTGTCCACCTCACACCAACCCCAGACTCAGTTCCCCAGGAGTTCCGCACCAATCAGGTGCTTGATAGTCAAATGCCACACATATCTCAATGGACAGTAGCAAAATAGAGAGCACTTCAGTTTCCAGAAGCAGCTACATCGAAGGACTGTGGCCCGACATTGGAAACTATAATCTGATTGGCTGATTCCATGACAGACAGAGCAAGGAGCAGCCAGAGAGATTATTTTGGGTCTATACCATCCCATGGCTCAGGTTTTACTCCCCCTCAGGCTCGTTGGGCAGTTCAGTCTCCTCTTAGCCCCTGGGAAGTCAGGAATTCTGCATGAAGCTGAGAAGAAGGTACTCAGTCTCCCCTTCAAGAAGAAATTCCGTCTTGGGCAATGGAGTTTTGGGATTTGGCTCAAAAAAGCATCTTTACCTCAGAAACTGCGAAGTTGTGAGCCCCAGGCAGTGGTTGCAGTGCCTCTTTACAGGCTTTCTAACCACTCTCAAAGGGCAAAGATAGATGTTTGGTAAAAGAAGAGGTTCCCAAGACTCTTCATGTTTCTCAGGTCCCCAATCCCCATCTCCCTAAAGAAGTCAAATTATAAAAGGAGAAAGATTCAAGAAATTGCTTCAGAAACTTGGAAGAAAACTGACCTTTTCTTCTTGAGATAGCAGTTCCACCGACTCCTCACCAGAAGGAACCATAAATAGAAATTCTGCTCAAAGTTTTCATACATGGAAAGAAAAAGAATAATATAAGGAAAAAAATCATTTAAGCATCTGGACGTCTTTATCATCATTTAATTCATTTTCATTGTCATTTTGTGATGAGCTCAGGAACAATTATGAGCCCAAAACAATCCTAAGGAGGAAGAAGAAGACTTTATAGAAATTACAAGAAGGCATTTTCCAACCAGTTCAAAATCTGAACAACACACATTCCCTTTAATATTTTTGAGGAAAGTAATTAAGGCTGAATGGGAAACACCAGTGAAGTGTATGAGATTGTGCAGGTGTGCCAAAAAAAATCTATAATACAAACTGTAGCAAAGCAGAATTTGTTTCTTTTCCCAAAGTGGATGGGGCCGTTTCATGACACCACACATTTGGGACTGTGTCTTCCTCTCTCAGAGTTTCTGCAGCAACATGTTCTGCACGAGCAGTACTGATCTGGACTGACAATTTGTGAACCAGACTGCCAAGAAAAAAGACTAAGAAATCATTGAGGTTAGGTTTGAAGTTAAAAAAAACCTCTGTGACTTCAGCATTCATAACCAAGGCAATCGGTGCTTGCTTTGATGTTGTCAGCATGTTTCTTGCAATGGCTTTCAATGTGGTGACCAGATTGCATCTCTGATTATGAGCCTGGAACAACAATGTACAGCCAAAATCATGATACTGACTTTCAAATAGTCAGTTTTGTGGAGCGCCATTCAGTGTTCCCTCTAAGCTGGGTGGCAGCACAGCTTCATAGGTGATTCATCACACTTGCCCAGTCAGTCAGCTCCTTGCAGGGAGCCCCGAACCTCTGACTGGGCAGGGCTGATTAATCACCCGTGAAGCTGTGCTGCCACAGCTTAGAGGGAACACCGGAACCTTTAGATATTTAAAATAATCATTTTTTCATCCCAAGCAAATAACAATATATTTTAAAATTTTTAGTGCTTCACTTTGCTTCAATTTTGGTTTTAGTTGGTTTATGAATTTGTCACATTACAGCTTCTGCTGGTTTTGAAATCTATTCAGTTAATAAGATAAAGTTTCTTGATAATTATAATTTCATACTATTATTTTATTGTTATTAGTTGAACTAAAAGAAGAAGAACATAAAGAAGAACTAGAGAAAAAAGAATTGACAATATTAGACTTAACCAGACAGCTGAGAACTCTAGATAAAGAAAAACAGAATGAGATAATCAAACTGCAGCTAGAGGTATAGATTACTAGGTTTCATAAGCTTAAAGTTTAAAGACCAAATAGACTTGCACTTTGGATAGATTTGAATCATTACAAAAGGCAGCTTCATAACTGGTGTAAGTAGTCATAGCTCTATGAGCTTCACCTGAGCTGAGGATAAACCTTCAGAGCTGGCCAGATGTTGAATTCCGTTCTCTCTTCCATATACACATGTAGCTAACTACCATTTACAACTGGGGGATGTGACTGTGTTTTAAGGATAATATAAACTATCACTTTGTTTTTGAGAAGGGTAGAGTTGTTTCCAGCACATCGTATTATGTCCTCTTTTTGAAAATTTTGCCCTATATGTTTTTGAGCACCTAGAGAGATGAAGAAAAAATGATTTTGGTTTTTGTTTGTTTTTTCAAATTTGTATTGTTCCTGTATTGTTTGGAATATATCTTTAGTTGAAAATGAGAGGTTGAAGCCTTAATCCATCAATGAATCTGCAGATGCCCACTGATTTTAGTGGAGCTTTGAAGAGATACTATGGGTGCGTCTAGACTGGCAAGATTTTGCGCAAAAGCACTTGCTTTTGCGCAAAAACTTGCCACCTATCTACACTGGCCATGAGTATTTGCGCAAGAACACTGACTTTCTACTGTACAAAATCAGTGCTTCTTGAGCAAATACTCCAATGCTCCTGCTCAGGTATTCTTGCGCAAGAGGGCCAGTGTAGACAGGCAAGTTAATTTCTTGCACAAGAAAGCCCGATGGCTAAAATGGCCATCGAAGCTTTCTTGCGCAAGAGAGCGTCTACACTGGCACAGATGCTTTTGCGCAAAAGACATCTTTTGCGCAAAAGCATCCCTGCCAGTGTAGACATTCTCTTGCGCAAATACTTTTAACGGAAAAACTTTTCCATTAAAAGTATTTGCACAAAATCTTGCCAGTCTAGACACAGCCTATAAGTTTGAAGACTGGAGCTTTATTTAATAGCTGAGGTTTTAAAGCTTCAGGGGATAGCCGAGTTAGTCTATTACAGAAAAAAACCACAAATGGTCTGGTAGCACTTTATAGACTAACAAAACATGTAGATGGTATCATGAGCTTTCATGGGCACAGTTCACTTCTTCAGATGACTGGAGTTATGAGTAGGAGATATGAAAACCCAAAATAAATAGGAGAGGGAAAGGAGGGGGGAAAGGAAGGGTCATGTGAGACAGAGCATCATTAAGTATCTAGAGAATGGGTCTGGGTATCGACTGAAAAATGTGTCTGGGATGGCACCCCTGATTACAGAGCTCTGCAACTTTGTTCTCACCCACTACTTCCAATTCAGAAACAATTTCTATCTCCAAATCAGCGGCACAGCCATGGGCACCCACATGGCACCACGATATGCCAACATCTTTATGGCTGACCTTGAACAACGTTTCCTCAGCTCTCGCCCCCTAATACCTCAACTTTACTTACGCTACATAGATGACATCATCATACAGACCCACGGAAAAGACACTCTCAAAGAATTCCACAAGGATTTCAACAACTTCCACCCTACTATCAACCTCAGCCTGGACCAGTCCACAAGGGAAATCCACTTCCTGGACACTACAGTACAGTTAAATAATGGACAAATTTCCACCACCCTATATCGAAAACCCACCGACCGCTACACTTACCTTCATGCTTCCATCCCAGACATATTTTTTCAGTCAATTGTATACAGCCAAGCCCTACGATACAACTGGATTTACTCCGACCCCACAAACAGAGACAATCACCTACAGGATCTTTACAGAGAATTCCTAAAACTGAAATACTCACCTGGGGAAGTGAAAAAACAAATTGACAGAGCCAAAAAAATACCCAGACATGAACTACTTCAGGACAAAAAGAGAAAATAACAGAACTCCTCTTGTCATTACCTACAGTCCACAACTCAGACTGCTCCAAATCATTATACACAATCTACAACCCATCTTGGAAAATGATCCCTCACTCTCAGAGGCCTTAGGAGAAAAACCTATTCTTGCTTACAGACAACCCCCCAAAGATGCCAGCTCTGCCCACATATCTACACTGATGAATTCATCACTGGAGCAAACAACATAAGCCACAAAATCAAAGGGTCATTTGACAGCACATCTAGTAATTTGATCTATGCCATCAAATGCCAACAGTGCCCCACTTCTATATATATTGGACAAACTGGACAATCTCTGCGGGAAAGAATCAATGGACACAAATCGGATATACGTAAAGGAAACACACAAAAGCCAGTTGGCAAACATTTCTGCTTACCTAACCATACTTTAACAGACCTGCAGGTGGCGGTCTTGTCACCGGCCAGCTCCACAAGCCAAATACATAGGGAAGGATTAGAATCTCACTTCATCCAGAAATTCACTTCACATGCTAATAGACTCAGTCGTGATATGGGCTGTCTAGGACACTACCTACTTCATAACCACTGAAGGTGCTAACAGCTCTATGAGTGGTATCCTTCCTGTCTTAGCATCTATTTACTTTGATCTTCTTAGGTTTAAGTACCCATTCTCCAGATACTTAATGATGCTGTGTCTCACACCTCCCGTCCTTCTTCCCCATCCCCTCTCCTATTTATTTTGAGTTTTCATATCCCCTACTCATAACTCCGGTCATCTGAAGAAGTGGGCTGTGCCCACAAAAGCTCATGATACCATCTACATGTTTTGTTAGTCTATAAAGTGCTACCAGACCATTTGTTGTTTTTTTCTGAGGTTTTAAAGTCACTCCACTGCCATTGAAAAACTAGCAAAGACTTCAAATTTGCTAAATGTTAAAAAATAAATGGGGCATGAACATCTGATTAGGATGAGCTTGCCTCAGGTCATGACCCAAACATGGAACTAGTTTAGTTAAGAGTATGCAATGTCTTCTTTTGCCCAACAAGTAGTCCTGTGATACCTTTGGCCATGTTTACACGCATAGGCGTGTGCAGCACATTTCATTAGGGTGTGTACCCAAATTTTTTTTTAATGTACTTTGACCCCCCCCCCACACC